GACTCTTTCCAAGAGGGCAAAGAGATACTAGCGCTTGGAATGTCTGATAGGCAGGACGAGAGCAAGGTTGGACCCTTCCTAACAATTCACAAACTATAGTTACTGCAGATAACTGCTTTAGTCTAGTAATTCTATCAGTAGGTGTACAGCAATAAAGAAACTACTCAGAAGTAATTCCACATGTTATTCTTTGTTCTTTAATACTAGAAGACAGTCCCAATTCTAGCGGACTTTGGTCAGTGAACAACAAAACATTAACAAATTAAATCATAGACATTCTTATGAAAGACACTCGGTCAACTAGGACCAAAATCATGTTAGAATAATATATTTTACCTGTTTGAAAAATATAAGACAGGCTGAATGTATTCTGAAGGAAGAGTCTCCCCCAGAGTATATCGGGTGTCATTAAGAAGGGTTATCGCATATTCCATGGACTATGCAGCTCTTGAGAAGATGGGTATCTAAACAGATCCTTTAGACCAGCGGCACCAGGGACTGGTTTTGTGGAAGACAATTTTTCCACGGACTGAGGAGGGGAGGCACAACCTAGATCCAACTATTCTAATATCCATAAAGTGGTTAAATTGAATATTTCCAAATGTGATTAGAAAGTGAGTTAGGCTGACTTAGTGTTCTTATGCCACCACTGAGAACAAAAATATATCCCTCAGTTCCTGATACTCAGACTCATGAGAGACCTCTGTTTTACAGTCTCCTTGAAAGGAGCTGACAGTCAGAGCACTTGTGGGCAATCTCCCATGCTCTCCTTCTCCAGAGAGCTTTGAAGGACCAAGTTACTCACTGGTCTTTTTGTTCTATGTAGCGGTAGTTTTCACTCATTCATGGAAGATGTCTTCGGTCAGCCATGACTCACAGCAGACGCCCCAGGAAAACTAGTTTTGATGAACTTAGATAAAATAAGAGAGCTTTGTTTATGATGGTAAAATAGTTGTGACCATCTATCTTCATTACTGGGAATATGTGGTGGGAATGTAGTCTGGATTCTCAGGAGGGAGGGGCTGCATTCCAGAGGGCAAAGAGAATGCAGAGTTTGGAANCTAATTCCACCTGTTCTTTGTTCTTGGGGCTTGAATGAAATAAGTAACCTTGACACAACTGAACTTTGCAAGAACAGAGAATTACTTGTCCCATATTCCTGGCTGTTTAAAGTATAGCCATGTCACATTCCAAAGATTATTCAATGACTTTATTTTCTACAATCTGAGAGGTACCATTACAAATTTATCCTTTATTTCTGGTACTGTTTTTCTATTGCACCCAAAATTCACAGCAGATCAAAAGACTTGGTACAAAGCATAGAAAAACTGAGGTTCTTAACATCAAGCATTGGAATCCTGGCATCTGCAGTACATATAGATAGCATCAACAGTCTCCAAAATTAAATTTGTATTTCTTTTCAACAAGGCAAAGATCTGGGATGTCAGATTTTGGATAATTTTAAAATCTGAGAGGGTGCCCCAACACTTTTGTGAAAGTGTGCAGTGAAGTTTGGTTCCTGAAAAGGTTTTAATCTCTGCTTTAGATCTACAAGAGATACTGATTTATTGCGTTGCTTTGTAGTATGTGGTCACACCTGCAACTCTAATCCATAAAGCAAACGATGAATAAAAACAGATGGGATGTGTTATAAATGGTTAATCTTTTTGTTTTGTATCATAAAATACTTGATTTTACAGTGCCTGGCAAGTACAATCTCCACTTTCCATAATTAATTGATAGAATTAATGGGAATAATATATAACATCAACACTATAGTTCAGAACAATTCATTTTAGAAAGAAAATTCATTTAAATGATACTGCCTTACCAAATAGCATGTATCATGGTAGAATTCACAGTATGAACCAGCCTTCTGGAAAGTTGGGGGATTCTAGAAACTAAACTTACCTTGAAAAGAGTAAGCCAGTTTTCTCAATCCTGGCAACCTGAAGAAGTCAATTCCCAGAAATCCCCAGCCAGCATTCACACTTCTTTAAGTTGCCAGGTTGAGGAATACTGCAGTAGGTTGAGGGAAGCTATTATAAATCTTGAAGTATAATAGAAGTACAATGAAGTATATAAAGAGCGTGGTGGCTCATGTGGTTAGGACACTGGATTGGAGGTTAACAAGACCCCATTTGAAACTCAAGTGCTGCTGCGTGATGGGGTGAGCTCCTGTCATTTGCTCCAGTTCCTTGGCAGGGACCTGAAAGGAGCCCCCATGGGCATCCCACGGGTAACTGATGTCACCAACTAATTCTTTCAACCTGGAAGTTCCTTAAACAGTGCCTTCAATACGAATGGGACAGGAATGAAGTACAAGTTGGGTTGAATCCTATAACATCCTTCCCATTGCCAAAGATATTTGGAAAGATCTGAAATGTGTTATTTTTAGCTCAGTATTGAAATGGGGGGGGTCCTTAGTGGTCTCTGACCTTGGTTGCTAGCCCTGATGATGTTGCCTAGTTTGGGTAATGAAACATCTGCAAGAAAGCAACTAAGCTCAGAGAGCATCAAGGACCCCCTCGTATATTTTTTTTCTTCCTGCTTCTTTTTTGTCTATTTAAGAGAGACCAGGGGAGGGTGGGGCTAAAAAGCCTGTGATTGGGGATCAACGGCTGTTAGCTTTGATGGCAGAGCGACTTCGTCTGAAGGCCTTCTGCTAGGAGATTAATGGGCTTCCTCATGCAATTGGTTGGCCACTATGAGAACAGGCTGCTTGATTAGATGAGCCAGAGATCCCATTATTATTCCATACACGTATTTGTATGATGTTGGTTGTCTTCACAGATAGCTTCTTTTCCTGCAGGGTTTTTTTTTTCTTCTGGGTAGAGAAAAAGAGCAGGTTTTTGCAAAGTGAGGCCACTAACAGGGCAATTGGGAAAATAATTTGCCTAAATGCTTGTACATCTGCCAGATCACCAAGCCTAATTTGTTTTTTCCTTTTGTAATGCTTACAATGCTGATGGCTTGGGCGCTTCAGGAATGCAGCCTGCAGCCTATAATATAGAAAGAAAGTTTTAGTGTGTAGTTATTTATACAAAAAAACTCATCTGATACTTTTAACAGAGTCATATCACTTGCAGGAGTATTAGAACTGAGAGAAATTATTGACTCACTTGATGCTTTGGGGAAAGCAAAAAAAAAGGATAACCAAAGACTTGTTTCATTACAAAGCATGACAACAGAACAGAACAGAACAGAACAGAACAGAACAGAATAGAATAGAATAGAATAGAATAGAATAGAATAGAGCTGGAAGGGACCTTGGAGGTCTTCTACTCCAGCCCCCTGCTTAAGCAGGAGAACCTATACCATTTCAGACAAGTGACTGTCTAGTCTTTTCTTAAAAATCTCCAGTGATGGAGCGCCAACAATGTCTGAAGGCAAGCTGTTCCACTGGTTAATTGTCCTCACTGTTAGGAAGTTTCTCCTTAATTCCAGGTTGCTTCTCTCTTTGGTCAGTTTCCAACCATTGTTTCTTGTCCTACCCTCTGGTGCTTTGGAGATACCCTCTTCCTTGTGGCAGCCCCTCAAATACTGGACTACTGCTATCATGTCACCCCTGTTTCTTTTCTTTAGACTAGCCAAACCCAAGTCCTGCAGCCGTTCTTCATATGTTTTAGTCTCCAAGCCTTTGATCATCTTAGTTGCTCTTCTCTGAATTCTTTCCAAACTCTCAATAACTTTTTTGTGACATGGTGACCAAAATTGGCTACAGTATTCCAGCTGTGGTCTTACTAGGGTTTTATAAAGCGGTACTAATACTTCGTGTGATCTTGATTTTATGCCTCTGTCTATACAACCCAGGATTGTATTAGCTTTTTTGGCTGCTGCTGCACACTGCTGGCTCATAGTCAAGTGATCGTCTACTAGGACTCCAAGCTCCCTCCCACAGTTACTGTTTTTGAGCCAGGTCTCCCCTAATCTGTACTTGTATTTGTACAATAAAATCTTAAGAATTTTTTATGGAATATGTAAGAGA